TCCAAACTGGAGTCTACGGTTATCTTTTTCTGCTTTGATGTTGCACGCTGTTTGTGTATTTGTGATGCATGAGAAAGCAAATGGTTTTGAGTTTATAGTTTATTGGGCACAGGAGACATTACAGAAAGGACAGTGGCTGACCCAAGGATCCTAAACAGGGTTAAATGACTTGATTGAATGTCCTTTAGCTATGCTTCTTCAGACAGAGAACATGGCCAGTGAAGGATGGAACCTCGCAGAAGAGGAAAGGGCTACATCAGAGTCTACATTTCTCAACAGAAGTAGTTAAATTGCATGCAACGCTGGGAAAAATTACCATTTTTCCATCAATTTACGGTAGCCCCCCCTTTCTTCCGTATATCCTATAATATATCTACCCTAGACTTGCAGAGGCACAGAGGGACTTTCAGAGAAGTCCTGGAGGAATTCTCTGGTGGACGAGACAGAGAAGAAGACAATATGACAGAAGGGCTTGCTGTGGTATCCCCTGGCTGCTAAGCTATTATTTAAGGCGAAGCATATTGGTAACACAAGCTGCATAAGACAGCAACCAGCTCAGGAGTGTGACTTGGGGACTGTGGTGTGACTGTGTATCCTCTACGTTAGTTACTTCCCCATGCTTATGACAAAATACCTAGCAGAGCAACTTAAAGAAGGGAGGACTCAGGCGGCTGTTGGTGGGAGGGTATAGTGGGCAGTGTGTGAGGTGGGGAGGAGCCTCTCACTTTTTGACAGGACAAGAAACAGAGAGAGGGCAGGAAGCAGAGGTGGCTATAGACCACACAGCCTGCACTTGAGAGACCCACTTCCTTCAGCTGGCCACACCTCTGGAAGGATAGACAGGTGGAGACCAGGTGCGATGACTTACTTTACAGCAAAACCATGACACCCTCCCACCGTCCTTCTCCAGCCCGTTGCTGATCCGTGGACTACATGGTATAGTTTTACTAAACTTCATGTTTGTTTGAATTAATTTGAAGTAATCTCTTTAGCGTACAACAAGGAACTCTTAGGGGCATCTCTGGCAAATTATTTTTTATTAAAGCCACACTTGTGGGATGACAAGGTGGATTGGAAGATGAGGTGCTTTCTACAGCTCGGTGACCTGAGTTCAGTCCCCAGAGCCTACATGCTACAGGGAGAAAACAAAGTCCTGTGGCTGTTTTCCGATCTCCAGGCACATACCAGACACACAAACCATGTGTGCAGACACATGCGCATGTGTACAGACACACACATAATTTTAAAAGCCCTGATTCTGTTTGACGTCCTCTTGTTCTGTCCACAGCAAGGGCACAAGGTAAACAGGGACCCCGAGAGCTAAGTGGGGAAATGCCCGTATATGGGCTGGGAAGATGGCCTAGTCAGTAAGGTGTTTGTCTCGCAGGCATGAGGATCTACATTGGATTGGATTCCAGAACACACATTTTAAAAAGCCAAGCGTGTTGGCATGGCCTGTAACACCAGCACTAGGGAGGCCTAGTCAGGAGAATATCTAGGGCTCAGTGGTCAGCGACTCTGGTCTACTTGACAAGCCCCAAGCCATTGACTATCTGAGGACTGACATGAGAGTTTATCTTCTGGGCGCCACATGAATGTGCATACATGTGCACACGCATCCGCACACACAGGCACACAAACACACATATAGAGAGACACGCACAGAGATACACACAAACACACACAAAAAGGACAAAAATGACCAGGATAACTTGTGATAACCATTCCTGTGGTCTATGAATGTTGTCCTGACACCTCCTTCCTTCTCTCCCTCTCCCTCCCTCTCTTCCTCCCCTCTCCCTCCCCCTCCCTAAGTCCTTCCATCCCTCCCTCCCGCCCTCCCTCCCCTCTTTCCTGAGCTGCTCAGTGTCCTCCCTAGCACACACCGTTGCAGCTCCTTTGCTAACTGCATCTCACCACCCACTTGGAAGACAGGAAGCATCAGGGTTCCCAAGAGCATTGTTGCCACCACCTCATCAACATTCATTCCATCGCAGTCACCATGTGACTCTGTGGCTCTAAGACAGTGAAAATATTTTGAGATGACAGATTGATGGCAGCTTGGCAAGCGGATCCAGAAATTCTGTCTCGCACATATTACTCAGGAAATGGTATTTTTAAAGCACTCTGGCACAGTTTTATTTCCACTTTGACCTTATAAAAACAGGCATCTAAAACAGAGTGTGGATGGAATGAAAGGCCTTTTTGTGGAAAGTTTTTTTTATGATCAGTTTAATGGATACAACAAATACACTCAAAACTGAGGCAGTTTTGAGATAAATCGAATCACTTTAGTTCATGATTCAAAGTGACTGTCGGCGAGACTGGAGTTAATCAGTTTCACTCTTGAGAATGCTCCTTAACACAATCAGCCATGTAGTGAACAGACACTTTACATATTGAGACAGATGATACAGCACACGCAAAGGCAGCACCCAGCCATGACGTCAGCCACGATGCCGTCTCATAGGTGAAAACAGAAGGCGAGTCAGAGCATATTGAGTATGCTTTCCTCGGCTCCCTTTCAAAGATGACATCGTTGCCTCTGCTTCTGTGTTAAGGGATTACTCAATCAAGCGAGGAGGGCTGGATTAGCGAGGGTTTTAGTTAAATAGCAGAAAGCGACTCAGTTCTGTGCACAGAGGCGGGGCATTGAAAGAACCTTGGTACCTTGCAGAATTGCTGGAAGGTTGGAGAGCAGAGCTTAGATATATTCTGTACAACCAGGCGTTTCCTCCACAGCTCTGGCCTGGCACAACCACTGTGGACAGTTCACCCGTCTGTCAGTCAGAGCACCTTCTATAGTCTGGGAGTTTTGTATCTGAACACTTGCTCAGTCCTAGGATGCAAAGGATCCAGGCTTGCTGCAAGGAGCCGAGCAGATAAGAAATATCAGGTATTTTCTCTCACAGTAAAATCTGTCCTTGTTGTCTGTGGCTGTAGCCACACATTGCTGCGGAGCCTTTGGCCTAATGCACCTGAAATGCATGCCACTTAGCAGGTCACTTAGCAGGTCAAAAGATCAGCTGTCACCAGGACCAGATTCTCTACTCCCTAGAGATATTTTTTCCTCTTCTAGTTCATCCCTCAGCTTGTGGCCTCATCACTTCAGTCTCCACCTCTGCCTTATTCTGTCTCTTCTTTGTGCATGTTGGACAAGGCTCTCTTTGTCTTTCTCCTATAACATGTCCATCCACGGTTTCAGGATAACCAGCTCACCTGAAGACGTGTAACTAATACATCACATCTCCAAACCCGGGACTCTAGAGAACATGTACAAGGGCAAGGGGCGGAAATCTGATCTCTTTGGAAGTAAGATCTAACGAAGTCTTAAGAAGTCATTTTAAAAAGGAAGATTCATACTGTCTCATAGTGGTTCAACTCAGCTCATGTTGACATGGGAATATGGTGAACGTGGGCTCATATCGCACAGAATCAACAGAGAGAGGAGGGGGAGGGAGAGAGAGACAGGGGGTGGGGGGGAGCAGGAGCAGGTATAGCAAACCTCCATAGACCTCCCTCAGTGACCTAACTCCTTCAGCTAGGCCTATCTCTCAATGTTTCTAGAACATCCAAAAGTAGCCTCAGGTTGGAGACCAAGCTTTCAAAACATGTACCTGTGTGGGACATTTGAGATTCAAACCAAAACAGAAGGGGGATTTCTGACATGTTTATAGATCCCTAGAAACTTTGCATATGTGGGAAACCTTTTAATGTTTTTGTATCACTTCTATTTCTTTGATGTGGGGGTGTCTTACCAATACATCTGAGAAGTTGCTATCTCTAGCTGTCTAGGTACAATCAGCAAAAGGTAGGGTATTCTGAAAGCAGGGTAAATGATGCTGGCCCCTGACGAGTGTGACGAGTGTGACTCGTGCCTTGCATAATTAGTGTATTTGAGTGGTAATGTAAGATTCTGTTGAAACCGTTTCCTGTATCCCATGAAACAAAGTTGTCCCTGGAAAACAAGGTCAGCAAATGAGGAGCCAACCCTCCTCACATTTCCAGCCTCAGCTTCCATACTCAGCTTCCATACAGGTGAATTCAGACACATGTAAGGACAGGAAGCTAACAGCTGCCAACGCAGGCCTGTAAATCCTCCTCCGAGATGAACGAACTCACTGAACCTGAGTGTGATTTAATGTAAATGCTGGTTTTGTGACTAAGAGATTAAGTTCTCCCAAGATCTAACCCATAAACCACAATCTGGCACGCCAGTGCCTGTGTGTGTTGAATGATTAATACTCCATTTGGCCTGACTGGCTACTTCCTCAGTAGCAGCACTTACAGCTAAGCCCCGTAAAACGTACCAAGCTATTAGGATCAAACACTGGCCGTAAGGCCGAGCAGAAGCAGGGTTTTTTCAGTGATGTGGTGTAGCATTAAGACGGATGACAGCAGGCTGGAGAGACGGCCTAAGAGCAGTGGCTGTTCTTCCAGAGGACCTGGGCTCAATTCCCATCACCCACGAGGTGACTCACCTCTGTGTGTGGCTCCAGCCCACCACATCCAATGTCCTCTTCTGGCCTCCATGAGCACCAGGCATAGCCCTGGTGCACCAGCATACACACAGGCAAGCCACACATATGCATTAAATAAACGGGAGGGAGGGAGGGAGGGAGGGAGGGAGGGAGGGAGGGAGGGAGGAGAGAGAGAGAGAGAGAGAGAGAGAGAGAGAGAGAGAGAGAGAGATGACGTCTATCTTGTCAAAGATTCACAACTAGGAGCGCATTATTGCAGACTGGGCAGAGACTGTAGGATCTGAAAAGTAAAGAGTTCAGATCCTCAGGAGCTGGGCTAGAAATTCTACAACCCGATTTGCCCTTGACCTATACTTTTTCCTTCTGAAATCTGCTTTTTAACAGGTACTGCAATTTAACAAGGAATATGTTGCTGTGTGGGTGTCCAGCTAGGGCAGTGGTTCTCAAACTTCCTAATGCTGCAACCCTTTAATACAGTTCCTCGTGTTGTGGTGACCCCCAGTCATAAAATTATTCTCATTGCTACTTCATAACTGTAATTTTGCTATTGTCACAAATCAGACTGTAAATATTTTTGGAGAGAAAAGGTTGCCCAGTGGGTTGCGACCGACATGTTGAGAATCACTGAGATAGAGCCTTTCAATTGCAGGCTTCCCTGTAGAGAAAGACAAAAGAGGCTCTGGTCAATAAAAATAAGGATATAAATGATACTTATTCCTTGGGGTTGATGTGAGGATTAAATAAGTTAAGATATGTGAAGCAGTTAGAGCTCTGTACATAAGACAGATGTTTATTGCTATTTGTATATTATGAGGATAAGACTCTCCCCAGTGCCCACGGGGAGACACACATGATGCCCACGGATGCCATGTCCTTTCTTTTCGCCTTGCCCTCTGGATGCCTCATCTACCAAAGTGCTTTCAGGAGAGAGGTCCTTAACTCAATGAAGATGTTAAACCAGTTGCAACTGGCTGAGTTATTTTTGAACTCTTATTTCTTCTAGTTTATTTCAATGACTTATTTCTCACCTCTTTGCAAGTCCTCATGGCTGTGCTCGGGATTACGATGAACCTCACGTCCCATTTGGTTCATATGGTGTATTCACTGAGTGGCGCTCATCTGATATCTTGTGTGTGGTGCACTCCGCCATTTTTGTGGAAGGATAAGCAGCTTGCCTGTAGGAAACAGAGGCCATGAAGACCAATAAGTGTAATGTATGGCCTGAATGAGTGTTTGCTGCTGCCAAATTAGGAGTTAAAGCAGAGAACATTTCTCTAAAGATAAATAAAACAGGGTAGAGTCTTAATGATGGGACTGGTAATTAATCTACCTGGAGATACAGATGGCCAATGTCTTGTTGATTTGACAAGTGTGTTTAGCTTAGGAATGTGCTGTGCTGGACCAGAGAAGAAACGAATGAGTTTTCACACTCATTTTCTATGATGCTGGTCACACACTACTTCTGTAGAAGTGAAACCAAACCTGAATGCAAATGACAGATACCAAATGTAATGTTGACCTAGGAGTACCCTCATGTCCAAGATGAGGTGGTTAAGGTTCAGAGAGGCTAAGCATCTTCATCTCAGTGAATTATGAGTCTAACATCTTACTCACCTGAAGAGAAATAATAAAAAAAATTACAGAAATTGCTTTTTGTAGGAGGAAGTCTGATGCCGCCATTAAACATGTGACTTATTAGAGGCGCATACAGATGAGGTAATTAAAGGGCGGTTTACCACACCGCTAACCACACCCACTTTAGGCAGGACTAAAGACGTATACGGCTGGACGTAAAGACGTATACGTATATAGGCGGAGCTACGTCACTAGCCAGGCCCACTTTTGGGCATGGCTAGGGGGCGTTACGGGGGAAGGTATAAAAGACAGCACACAGGAAGTCTCGGTCTCTTTTCCTGGAGTTCGGCTTCCGCTTTGGCAGCTGAAAACTGCTTGGCTCCTCTGGGTTTGGTATCTTGTGAGTAATTTCTACATTAAATACTTAGCTTTACTTTCAGTAATTGTGTGTCGCATATCGTTACAGCGTCCATTGAAGCCTACAGCTTTTACTGGAGTGTCTACAGTTAGAATATTTGGTGCCTGGAATTTCTACATGCACTTACAAATACTTACTGTATGTGACCAAAAGTATCTGGAATACTGTTGTTTATATAGGTACAATAAACAGAATGCTTGAAAATATGTGGTTCAGAAACCTAGGGTATGTCATAAGACCACACATCTAGCACCTGCTTTAAGATGGGAACAGCTGAGTGATCAAGGGAATGACCTAGACTGCTGGAATCTAATGAGCAAATGTGTTTTTGAGATTATTTTAGTTATTTAGTTAGTTATTTAGATCCAAAGCCTATATTTATACAATAACAGTGGCTACCTATTATTGGTACACATGTTGGAGGAGTTAAAATAAATCATTTAGAATGATGCCTATATATAATAAGTGCTACAAAATATTAGTGTGATTATGTTTCCTAATATCACAGTGATACTAGAAACCAATTCCAATTGTCATTTAAGGTACCGAGCTTTATGTTGGTTGGTGGGGGTACATTGTGGAATGGGGATACAAAAGCAGAGACTTGTGATGGGAGTGTCCATAAATGGCCCACACTTTGAAAATCATTCTGTTCCTGCGTTGATAGTAATCATTTCCAGATGTACCTTACTCCAAGTCACTCCTAATCACAATTACTTGTTAGGGACACGGGACAGTTCTCACTGCCAATCTTAGTATCCCACCATTGGTTCTGAAGACTCTGCCCTGAAGACACCCTGCCCAGACTCTGCATCTGTCCTGCCCAGACTCTGTGCATCTGTCCTGCTCAGACTCTCTGTGTCTGTCCCGCTCAGACTCTCTGCCTCTGCCCTGCTCAAACAAGAGGAGAGAAAGGAAGAAGAAAGGACAGAGAAAGAGAGAAAGAAAATCTGTAGAGGAAGAAAAATCTACCATGTATAAATAACGCCTAAGGACACTCTTTCTACGCACACTAATCAAAAGGGCTATATAAGGAATAAACGGTAAGTATTCTTTAAGATTTAATTTTGATTGTCCATAGGGGCAGGTGCCTGTGTGCGTGTGTGTGTGCGTGCGTGCGTGCATGCGTGTGTGTGCGTGTGCGTGTGCGTGTGCGTGTGTGTGTGTGTGTGTGTGTGTGTGTGTGTGTGTGTGTGTGTGTAGATGCCCCTGGAAGCCAAAGGTGTCAGATACCCTGAGCTGGAGACACGGGTGATGTTGAGCCACCTGGTGAGTGCTGAGGTCTAAACTCAAGTCCTCCCAGAAGACAGAAAAGGTCTCACTTGTCCTCCACGCTTGGCTTCTGCCACAAAATAAAGAAACAGCATGAGCACAGGGCAGGAACTGAGAAAACATGAACTCTGGTGTAGCATCCTCACGGCGCTGCCAAGGTAACATGGAAACACCTTGATCTTTATTACGCAAACTGCATCTGTGTTAGACAAAGTCGGATAGCATCCATTCTGCCTGTGCTGGGGGTTGAACCAGCACTAGCTAGGCAAGTGTCCATGTTCTTAAAGCTACATACGGCTCTTTGCAAAATGAAATAAGCATAATCATTTATTGAAACAAATTATTAATAATCCTCTCTATACAGCCTATCCACTTAAAACTGCTCAGCCTGTTCTGTGCATGGCTGAGTCAAGGAACCGTGATTCTCATTGATCATCAGACAATCACAATCTATTTTAAAAATATGGTCCCACAGAGATTCTAAGAAGGTTTGTGTTAATGTGTCCAGGCTGTCATTAAATACCATAGATTGGATGGCTTCAACAACAGAATTGTATTTTCTCTCAATTCAAGAGATTTTAAATCAGATAAAGGTGCCAGCAGCCTGAGACCCCGCCCCTTGGTCTGTAAGAGCCGCTTTTCCGCTGGGTCCTCCACAGAGTCTTCACTCTGTACGTGCAATGACATTAGAATACCAGCCATACTGGCTTAGGACTCTCTCTAATGGCTTTGTTATGAGGTTATTAGCTCTATTACTACACTAGGTATCTCAATATAGTCATGTTCTGAGTCATGGAGAATCATAACTTCAGCATTTGAGTTCTGTGGGGTCACAGTCAATTCCTAATGATGCTTAGCGCCAGGTTCGTTGGTGGTGCTATATTGAACAATGGCCCTATAAAGAGAAGCTATGAATACCATTGAATGCCTCCGCCCAGTATCCATGGTGCAATAGCAAGCCTAGGGGACTCTGTGTGGCAGTGTTAGGCTGGGTAGCACTTGCTATGTGAGATGATGATGAGTGATGTGTCTCGCTAGTGTGACAAAATGCCTGATAAAAGTGGTTTAGGGAGAAAGGGTGACTTGGTTCCCGGTTCAGGAAACAGTCTGTCCTGGCTGAGAAGGCATGGGGGCAGGAACTTGAGACAGATGGCCACATTGCAACTTCAGGTCGTAACTTAGGATTTCCATTGCTGCGATAAAACACCATGACCAAAAAGCAAGTTGGGGAGGAAAGGGTTTATGGAGTTTGCACTTCATCATTGCTGTTCATCACTGAAGGAGGTCAGGACAGGAGCTCAAGCAGGGCAGGATCCCAGCTGATGCAGAGGCCACGGAAAGGGGCTACTTGCTGACTTGCTCAACCCACCTTCTTAGAGAACCCAGGACCAGCAACGCAGGGATGGCACCACCCACCATGGGCTGGTCTCTACCCCATTGATCACTAAGTGAGAAAATGCCTTACTCCTGGATCTCGTGGAGGCATTTCCTCAACTGAGGCTCCTTCCTCTCTGATGACTCTAGCTGGTGGAGTTGACACACAAAACCAGCCAGGAGAGGCTGTGAGCAGGGAGAGATGAATACTGCCTCTCGGGTCACTTTTTCCCTTTTGTTCTGCCTGTGCAAGAGTGTCATCCACACTGAGACTGGGTTTTCCTACCTTAATTACCCTAATCTAGAATGCCCCCCCATGAGCATGACCAGAGGTTTGTTTCCATGGTGATTAAAGATCCCATCAAATTAGCTATCAAGATAATAGGAGGAGTTTGCCTGGAAGTGTCCAATCTACTTCCTTACTGCTCTGAAGTTACTGGAAAGTTTAATAAAGCGATGGTTCTAGCCGTTTGTGAATTACTCTCTAAATTCAGCCCATGTCACAAGCACTGGAAAGTTATTCTTGTGCTGCAATAGGCAAGATGGCACCTAATTAGCCACTTCATCATCTCAGATGTGCCATGTCTAGGAACTGTTGAGCCTCAATGTCTTAGTGCTTGGCTTCTGTACTAACACATTCTAAACTTCCGTACATGCAGAGAAGGACAGTTCCCTGGTGACAGCTGATTTACGATGTCTGCAGAGATGCTTCCCTAATTAGTGATGATGTCTGAATGCCCTGCAAGAAGCCTGCTATGTAAAACTGTCCCCTAGAATGATGGCATTGGCCACTGTCTGTGCCTTGTCATTAACAAGTTAGAATAGAACTCTCTTGGCAGGTGTTTTTGCTTCATGACTGAGAGTCGGTAGGTTTGTGGGTTGCAGTGTTTTTACTGGCAGGCATAACTCACAGCAGCGTATGCAGCAGTACAGCTTCCTCGAGGCCCCCACTGACAGGTCCAACACAGACTCAAGACATCAACAGGCCAGACACGAAAACATAGAGATGGAGATGACGAGCCTCTTCTGGGCCACCACCTGCTTTCAACTGTCATTGCTGGCAGGTTAAGAAACGGGATGGGAAGAAACGCTCATGGAAAGTAACACAATCGTCTCATAAACCCTTGTCCCAGCTTTTGAAAGAATAGATACATAGCTAAGCCAGTGATCAAAGGCGCTTTGATTCATCTCGTTCTGGTAATGTGCTGACTTCTTTTATAGTCGCTGGGAGACCCAAAGTCTTCCCTCCCTCAGAGTTTCTATAGAGTCCTCCAAAGAAAAAGAGAATCCAAGGACAATTTTACAAGTTTAGGAAGAGAGTTTGAAGAAATGATGAATTAGCCTTAATATCTGCTTTGATTTCCCAAAAGTTGGTTGGCTAATTATCTAAGTCAGGGGTTCTCAACCTGTGGGTCACGATCCCTTTGGTTCTCAACCCTTGGGGTTGTATATCAGATCTCTTGCATTGTGATTCATAACAGCAAAATTACAGTTTTGAAGTCGTAATGTAATAATTTTATGCTTGGAGGTCACCACACCGTGAGGAACTGTATTAAAGGGTCGTAGCTTTTAGAATGTTGAGAACCACTGACCTAAGTCATTCAGGGGTTTCTGGAATAATTTGGCTAAGTACCCCAAAATGGAGACTTTGGAGGCCCATTTCCCTCTGTCCCTACATTTATGCCAATTAAAAAAGGTATTTCTGATTCATGTTGACTTCAGCCATTTCTGGAGAGTAGTTTACTTATCATGCTTTTAAAAATGACATTTTTATTTTTAGATCAATAATAAGTGGCCTCAGATAAGCTAGAAACACAGGGCAACTCAATATGCTAACTGGGTTATCAACAGTTCTAAGCCGTGTTTTAGAATTACAAATGGAATTGAGCTTTTATGAATTAAACTGAATTGAGCTTCAGTACATTAGACACAGCAGTTGACTGTAAAAATCTCTGATTCATGGTGTATTGGAAAAGGGAGTAGTCAATTTCACCTCTAGCAGCTCATGAACAGTGCCCAATAGTGTCACTCATAGTTGGCCAGAGTATGTGCCGTAAGAAGCAAAAGGCCTTGGATGGAGGATTCAAGAGCAACGCTAAGATGGATTGTTGGGGGATAGGAAGTCTGTTGGTTATTAAAGCTGTGGACAGGCAGACAGATAGCAACATGGAGTTGCTCTGAGGCGACTTCAGACCCCAGCACCAGAGACAGACAAGGAACCAGCTGCAAAGGGAAAAATCAGGGTCTGTGTGATGTAAATGTGGGGCTGACTGTCTCTTCTACCTTCAGAGGGTGGAGAGGTTTCTTAGCACAAACCTGTAGGTAGACTATTAGACTCCCAGGCAGGAGGCAGAGACGAGGTGGGGAGCAGGAGGTATGGCCACCAACACTCTCTTCAGTGTAAACTCACTTCCTGGTAGGAAACTCTGGCGCCTGAAGACGGGCAGTGAGGTTTCTCAGCAGGGCCTCTGTTTTTAAGGGCTGATGCAGGGGCTGTGACCTGTTAGTATTTAGGCATTTGATTGGCCTGCCTTTGGAGTTCTGACAAGATACACCTTCAGCTGCTAGCACTAAGAGCACCACGTGTGCCTATTCAATATGTTCCCCTTTAAAAGAGCCCTACCCACCTCCCATCTCTCTCCCTCTCCCCTCTCCCTCTCCCTCTCTCCCTCTCTCCCTCTCCCTCTCTCCCTCTCCCTCTCTCCCTCTCCTCTCTTCTCCTCTCTCCTGCTGCTCCTGTCCCCACAGGCCAGTCTCCCCCCTGCCCTTTCCCCTTTCTATGATCCTTTTCCCTAATAAAAAGAACCCCTCCCTTTGAGCTCTGTTGCATGACATCTTTCTCTCCCAGCTGCCTGACTCCTCCGGGGTTCTCCTGCCATGACCGATAAGAAGTCAGCATGCCTGTCAGCTTTCTCTCTGCTCCTGAAACCTCAGGAAATGGAATTCAGTCTGCCCACCTTCCTACCCTACAATATTTTTTCATAATTTAGAAGTCTTTTTGGTATCTTAAACAATGAAAGTAATTTGAGGTGCAGAGAGTTTCTTTCACATCTGTCTCTGGTGTAACATTCCTCCTGATTGTAGAACTCTTTTCTAGACCTTTGAGACAAAGCTGCAAAGGAATGCTAGAACCTGCATCTTTAAAGCAGGCACTCTCATCTGGCTTCCTTGGGCACTAGACACACATGTGGGACGTGGCCATACACACAGGCGAAACAGCCATACTTTAAAATAAAACAAAACAAAAAGTATTGTGCAGACTGCCCCCTCAACAAACATGGAAAATGACATTATGTATGACAATGGAGACATAAAAAACACAGGAGAGATTAGGTGAGAAAAGAGTTTGGATCCCTGATTTGAACACATTGAGCTTGATATGCCCATGGAAATACAAATAAGATGTCCCAGGAGTTCCAAGGCCATAAGGACCTAGACCTCACAAAGAGGAGCATACACTAGAATTAAATTTGGAATCAAAAAAAGAGTAAAATGAAAGCTAGAAGATAGCCTGAGTTCAATTCCCAGCAACCACATGGTGGCTTACAACTATCTACAATGAGATCTGGTGCCCTCTTCTGGCCTGCATTCAGAACACTGAATGCATAATAAATAAATAAATCTCTAGGAAGAAAGAAAGACAGAAGGAAAGAAAGAAAGAAAATAATTAAACAGAGGGACAGGGTGTGAAATGTTTGTCAACAGCACAATTCTGAAGGGAAAGTGTAGAAACAAAACAAAACAAAGGGTGACAAAGAGCCACCATTAAGAGAAAGACAGAGGGGCCGACTAAGAAAATGGGACATTACCTGTAAATCTGGCACATTCAAGTAGAGCAACAAGAACAAAAAGCAGGCTGAAAATGGGTTGAGGGATAACCAGAGAGCAGCACACAGAGGCATGGAACTGTGTGCTCTGAAAGAGTTCCCCACTGTAAACTGAACAGTACAGACAAAGCCATTCCTATGCTACAGATCCTACCAGAGCTGGCAGTGGTTGCACACGCCTTCAATCCCGGCACTGGGGACGCAGAGGCAGGTGAATCTCGGAGTTCAAATACAGCCTGGTCTACAGAGTGAGTTCCAGGACAGCAAGGGCTACCCAGAGAAACCCTGTCTTGAAAAATGAAACAAAACAAACAAAAAACAATGCCAACAAAAAAGGTCCTAGCAAGTTGATTGACCGGTTAGAATGCCATGGTTGTTCAGGCTTGGAATGTTGCAGATCCAGAGACAAATTATCTTGGGCTATCTGTAAAAATAGCCCCCTTAAATGGCCATTCATTGCCCACATCTGTGAATGACTTAACAGCCTTTTAATTCTCAGATAAAATCTTTAAAGTGTCTTAACAGACCACAAGAGTCCATCAACCTAAAGGCGAAATTGAAGAATGCCACCAGATAACATCTAAAATCCATTTTCTTCTCTCTCCTGCATCTTGCCTACTTACTGTACCAACTAATGTATTTGGGAGATGCCTTGACTTTGGACTCTTCTGCAATTCTGGGTAACAGAATCTGTGTTCCTGGGCCATGGTCACTCATATTTGGCTCAGAATAAATTACCTTCTCTTGCCATTGAGGACAAAGGTGTGCTTTGCACCGACACTGGAAATGAGCGAAGGATACGGAGACTCCAACCGCTTCCTGGCCAGTCCCGGCCTTCGTGTCTGCTCTCCATTGCTGTAATTGTGACCTGTCCATACACACAGAGGCTCCTCGTTGAAGAAGGTGGTCCGTTCTGGTGTGGTGCATCCTCTAGTCTCCATTGAAAGAAAGGAGAAATCAAGTGCAAACCAGGATGTCCAGAGATGTATCAGGTGGGAAAAACCAGGACTTGGAAGAAAGAGAAAGCATACAGCTGCCTGATTTGACCTCGGGGGCCTCTGGATGTCCAGCACCAGCACACATGAGTGACACGGTGACATGATTGGCTAAATTTATGAGAACTGACCAAAAGGCTAGATAAGTAATGGCTGGATTGTTTCTAGACGTGTTGAAGTTTATTCTCAACTGATTTATAGTTTCTTCTCTAGCAGGCCAGTGGTATTCCACAAGAAAAATGTCTTCAATGCTTCAAGACTTTAAAGAGGGTGTGGATCCAGACCTTGTGGTACCTTCATACAAAGGCATGAGGATGGTGATCAGGAGTTCAAAGTTATCTTCAGCTACATAGTGAGTTTGGGGCCAGGACTGCCTGAGAACAGGTAAGACCCTTGGATATATTTTACAAATGGAGTTACTGAAGGGCTGAAGCAACAAGTTTAATCACACAGTGAATGACAACACATAAGGCTGTCATGTAAGTCAACAGAAAATCCTATATGACTCCTAAAATCGTTCTTCATTTTTGTCTCTGTCACTATGTGAACCAATGCATAGAAGCAAATTTTTGGTGGAATTTTTGTCAACTATAATAAATACATACTTAATTTCTATAATTGTGGGCAGCTCTTCAGGATAAAGGCCTTACCCCATATACCTTTCCTCTACTATTTACCTCTTAATTTTGGTCACCTTTTAGTTGTCTGAGAGTCATCTTTCCTAATTAGCAATGGCTATGGATAAAAATGTCCTCCTGGCTGGCTGCTAGCCCAAAGTCACCACAGTCAGTATTGTTTACACACATGTAAACAAGTGACAACAGATGTCCCCAGCTAGCTGGAGTTGTGACTTTCTCGGCTGCATTTCTAGACTCTAACACTGGCACTTTTAATATTCATTCACATTTTAAAAAGAAGAAAAGAGGGATGAGTTTCATTTAGTTCTGAGGATAGCCTTCCAGCTAGGGATCAGTGACCCCATCCTCCTCGTTTCCAACAGTTCCTGGACTGGGGCCTCCAGACTAGAACTGTGGTGGGACCTGAGTTGTTATGGTGATTGAGGACTTGGAATTCTCTGAGGAGAGACCTCATTTCTGATCACCTTCATCTTTAGAAACACAACCCAGCCTTTTACTTTCCTGTTGCCTGCATGTGTCCTTACTTGAAAAAGGTTCTGGAGAAGTCAGAATCTTACTTTGTACATGGCCATACCTCATGTGGAAGGAAGTAGGAAAGAAACAGGAAATGATGTGGAAGGGGCATTCCTGTTGGGGAACAGGTGCAGAAACCCTAAGAACGTGTTGCCACAGGCATCATGGTTACAACCAACACGCCATTTCCTCTTAAGTGAGCTGACTTATATTTAGTTCCTCCTACAGTGTTAGCAGCCTGGAGGTCAGTCCTCACTGTAGAAATTATGCTCAGACTGTGAGCTCATTTGATGGGAATTATTAGGTGATTAGCATATTGACCCTACAGAGAGCTTATTCCAAATCTAAGCTCAGAAGATGTCACACTGAAAACTCCTTTTCCTGTGTCAGCTTTGAAAATAAGATTGATCTCTCCCAGCCACATGTGCTGGAGACCTCAGGTGCTTATGTTTAAATCTCTCTGGGTTCTGGATAACAGAGACTTGCAGGTCAGCATCTTCCTCGATGAAGGCTGCTAAACTTGTATCCTACAGACCAGATTCTATTGGGACTCTCTATTTCTAAGTTTCTTTCTTAATCCCTTCCTGTCTTTCTACATATTTAGGTTCATCAAATGGTCTTTGAGGAAGGACTAGCACAGGTAAGTTCTCAAGATCTGTCACTCCCTGAGCTCCGGGAGAACAACGTGGCTGGCTGGCTGAACTCTCCTGTCTTGGAACTCTTCACAGCAGCCATGAATTACACTGATGCCTCTAACTCAGTAAGTGCCTGAGAGACAAACCCAGGCAGGTACTAATAAAAGGCCTGGGAAGAACAAAGAAACCATTCTCTGCACTTCTCAGGAAATGATGCCCATAAGAAGGGAAGCATTATCTGCCAGGCACTGGGTGGTGGGGGGAGAGAACTCTTCATCTTGGCCCACTAGACAGAGAGACTCAAGGCCGTCATCAACAGCAGAACCACCTGGTTTCTATAAGCTGAAATACACAGTTCATCGAGTAGCCCACCTACCATCCTTCCACTGTGGAAGTCAGATTCTCTTGCCCGTGTTGTTAGGGTTAGAGCCCAGGGAAAGGTTAGGCCCTGGAAGCTTGGCCATCAGTCTCCAATAAGCCAATTAAACAAAGCATAAAATCAAGATTATTCGATGTGGTAATAAAATTATCGCAATACAGCAGATAGCTAGGTATATAGTCATTGTAATGGCACTCTAGACATTCCCTCTAGGAGGAAGATGGGGGGTCACAAGATCTGCAAAATATCCTCCTTGGGGATTCCATTATTGGCTCTCTTCTGCTGGCCATACTTTATGCTAAAGTGTATGAAATAAAAAAATGACTAGGTTTGGACCATTCAGTGGCATATCTGTGTACAAGTCACCCATGTTTCTATAAGTAACACCCAATAACCCCATTTGGTCACTAAGCTGTATTTAGAGAAATCTTCCTA